CAAAACAACACCGCTATCGGAAAGAGTTGGACGCGTCGGCGGTTTTCATTGGTGTTGGGCATCTATTTGATGACCGCAAACTTTTTAAAAAAATTTTAACTGCAGCTGCCCTTCCCTAATGTGAACCTGTTGGCAATTTATTTGTTTTTGATTAATGGCGTTTTGTGGGCGTGGCAGTGGTCCGATTACGCCCGTCTGCAATACCAACCGTCTCACGGTACCAAGAAACATGTCTACCAAGTTTCATAAAGATATCTCAATTTTTACTTAAGTTAGAGCTTGCACGGACGGACGGACGGACAGATGGACAAACAGTCACCCGGATTTCAACTCGTTTCTTCATCCTGGTCATTTATATATATATAACCCTATATCTAACTCGATTAGTTTTAGGTGATACAAACAACCGTTAGGTGAACAAAACTATTGTACTCTGTAGCAACAGGTTGCGAGAGTATAAAAAAATTAAAATAAAAATCTCACGCTGAATAAAATACAATATAATGTTCAATGTCATTGTAAGGCCGTTCAATGTCATGTAAACGTCAGCTTATTGTGTTCAATATCATGCCAATGTCAATGTAAGTAAAGAACAAAATAATCTAAAAAGAAGACACCCACAAAACAAAAAAGAAATTAAATAAAAATGGTTCCAGTGATATACACGAAGATTAACTAAAGAAGAGACAAATTAAATAACAATTTTGCCAATATCTATTACTTAACTTTGTTAAGCCAATTTGATATACAAAAAAAAAAAAAAACAGTTTAAAACAATAATTGAACTTTACCTATACACTGCTCTTATAAATGAGCAGAGTCGAAGAAGAGTTAGATGTTGTAAACAAAAAATTGAGCTCTCTTAGTATAAATAAAGAAACGATAATGACTGAAGGAAAAGATAAGCGCGATCTCATCATGCAAACCATTAAGCTGATTCAACCGTTCGAAGGCCACATGAACTACTTAGCGTTGTACTTGTACATCGACAGCATCGACATCATTGTACCTCGGTACACAACAATCTCTTTAGAAGAGGCTGCATTTTATTTCAACTGCGTTACCTGCACTCTAAGAGATTCTGCTCTAGATATTGTGAGAAGGGAGCAACTATGTGATTGGACAACACTACGACAATTATTCATTGATGAATTTGGCGAACATACACCTGTGTTTACTCTTATTTTGGAAATAAGTAATATAAAATTTAAGAATAGCGTAAAATTATTGTGCGAAGAAATTAACATAGAAGTATGTAGAGTAAAAGATTGTATACAATTAAAAAATGAAAATATTTCCACCAAAACATTTTTGTATAAAGAGCTAGATCAAATTAGTTTAAAGACATTAAAAAGGGAATTGCCAAATTATTTAACTGCATTAATAAGTGCAAATTTAGTAACAGACCTTAAGTCAGCAATACGAATTTTGAAAGAAAATAATGTATTTGAAGATGATAGAAAACTAAACAAAAGCAAACTAACTTATAACCAAAGAAACATCCCATTTCCCAGAGTTTCCATCCTTTCTCACATAAATTCTTTTAGATTCGCAGAGTTTCCATCCTTTCTCACATAAATTCAAATAGAGTAAATGGTAACGAGTTTCAACAGGATATACCCTATCACCTAATAACTCAAATCATTTTTATCACTCAAATCTAAATGAGTAGAATTATTACCCAGAAATGAATACAACTTTAAATTATACTAACAGAAATAATTTTAGTGCGCTTAATACCAATAATGTACCTAAAATAAATTCGCAACAAATAAGAAGGCAAAATGAACTTAATTCGAATCAATCTAGAATAAGGCGATACGGCGCTCCTCAACCAATGGAATTTGAGCAGTCAAATTTTCAATTAGAAGCCTCGGAGGATTGCCCGTGATCGAATTAAAGATCGAAGGTAAATTTATAAAGTTCTGATAGATACGGGGTATTCTGTCAGTTTAATTAAGCCCCAAGTTCTTAGTAGTAGAATCATTGCAATTGAACCAATATTACTAACAACCGCTACAGGAAAAGTATTACTTAAACAGATTCAAGAATTTTTCGGCCATTGCCATAACCAAAAAATTATATTTTACGTTTATAATTTTTCCGATAATTACGACGGATTAACAGGTTACAATACACTTCGTCAGCTCAACTCTAAGATCATTTTAAAAAATAATACAATTAGTTTACAAGGACATATACACACATTTTTCGACAATGTTAAAAATTATACACACACTAACTTACTAACCGAGTTGAATGTTAATGATGACAAATTTACTGCCAAATTTAGACTCAACCATTAAAATAATGAAGAATCGCAAAAATGTAATAAATTGCTGGGGAAACACAAAACTTTATTTTACAAAGGAGGTGAGAAACTTACATTCACTCACAAAATTAAACACAAAATTAAAACTATTCATGAAGATCCAATATATGTTAAATCTTATAGATACCCAGAAGTACATAAAATGGAAGTAAATAAACAGATAAAAGATATGCTGGAACAAAAAATAATTTGCCACAGTACTTTTTCATATTCTGCACCGATTTGGGTAGTGCCTAAAAAGCTAGATGCTTCAGGTAATGAGAAATGGAGAATCATTGTAGATTACCGAAAGTTAAATAATATCACTGTGGATGACAAGTACCTCATTTCAAATATGGACGAGATACTTGACAAGTTAGGTAAATGTCTATACTTCACGACAATTGATTTGGCGGAAGGATTCCACCAAATCGAAATGGATCCTATAGATAGACAAAAAACCGCTTTTTCTACTCAAAATGGCCACTTCGAATTTTTGAGAATGCCTTTCGGTTTAAAAAATGCACCAGCCACTTTCCAAAGGCTGATGAATACAGTTTTGGAAGGTCTAATTGGGAAAGATTGCATGGTTTATTTAGATGACATAGTAGTTTTCAGTACATCTCTGCAAGATCACATCGAATCGCTCGATAAAGTGTTTCAAAGATTAGCTGAAGCGAATCTAAAAGAACAGCCGGATAAAAGCGAATTTTTAAAACAAAAAACCGAGTTTCTTGGCCATGTTATTACCCCTACTGGCATAAAATCAAATCCAAATAAAGTCGTGGCAATTTTAAATTATCCAATTCCCATAAGGGAACGGAAAATAAAACAATTTTTGAGTTTAGCGGGATTTTACCGTAAATTTATTCAATATTTTTCAAAAATAACAAACCCTTTAACGAATTGCTTAAAGAAAGGCAATTTAGTGAATAGTTCAGATAAAGAATTTATCAGAGCCATAGAAAGTATTAAGTTATTAATAACAAAGAGCCGATCCAAATTACGAGAAGTTATTTACGTTAACGACAGACGCCTCTAATGAAGCATTAGGAGCAGTGTTAAGCCAAAATGGGCTTCCGATCTGTTTCGCCAGCCGTACACTTAATGAACATGAGTTGAATTATTCGGCAACAGAAAAAGAGCTCTTGACAATGGTGTGGCCTACGAAATACTTTAAACCGTATTTATACGGCAGAAAATTCTTAATAAATAGTGATCACCGCCTCTGCAATGGTTACATAATTTAAAAGAGCCAAATGCAAAACTGCAACGGTGGAAGATTAGGTTGAATGAATACGATTTTGATATTAAATACATTCCAGGTAAAGAAAATCCAGGTTAGACCTGAAGAACGTAACGTTAATGAACTGCTTCGAATGTAGCCACAATCCATTCCGCTGACAAAGACTCCGGCGAGTTTATTAGAATTGCCGAAAGGCCATTGAACGTACTTAAAAACCAAATTAAGCTCATAAGATCTAACCAAAATTGTACTAACACATGCAAAATATTTTCTAACAATCTTACTACTATATATAATATTATACGGAACTAACAACTGAATATATAAAGGACTTATTAAAACTCATTTGTTAAACAAAAATACAACAATACTTATGACCGATGACGACGACTTTGTACAATTTCAAAACATTTATAAAACTCTGATTACTTCAAACAGATTTAAAATTTACCGAACTATGAAGGAATTAGAAAATATTGAAGATTATTCTGCCTTCAAATCAAAAATATTAGAAATTCACCTGGAAGGACTGCATCAAGGAATCGAAAAGGTAGCAAACTGTTTCAAGCAAAAATACTATTACCCTAATGACCTTAAAGAGATAACTAAAATAATTAATGAATGTGAGTTATGAAACCATTGCAAAAACGACCACATCTCGAACAAATTACCATTTAAAGTTACGCCTCCTGTGTATGAGATTAGAGAATGGTTTGTAGTAGACTTTTGGAAATGGGATGATGAAAATTATCTAACATGTATTGATTTGTTTTCCAAATTTGCGACAGCTAAAAAAGTATCAGCTTTAAATTGGTTAGAACCTAAGAAAGCAATCCTAAAGATTTTTAATTTTATGGGACCTCCGAAGACATTAAAAATAGACCAGGTATCAATAATGTTAGCATAAAGCAGTGGTGTCAACAATTGAATAAAGCAGTCGAAGTCACAACTGGGAAAACTGGTATTGGTGACATTGAGCGGTTTCATTAAACAATGCATGAAAAATTGCGAATTATTTGTAGTTCTGGGGATAAAGAGTTGAAATACCTTCAAATTGAACAAGCATTATTTACCTAAAACCATATTATTTCTTATTCCACTACATGTGAAAGTCCGTATAATATATATTTTTAATAAAAAACATCCAAAAACCAATCCCTATTTAATTTAAAGAAGAAGGATAAATAACATAAATCAAAACCGACAAGAAAAAGACATAGATACGAATATTGTTAGTGCCGAAACCTCTAGGAAAAGATTGGATAAGATTAGTAACCCTTATAAAAAAGTACGGCTTGTTCAAACCGAATCTGATGGGAAACATCATATAGTAAAGTTTAAAAAAAGGAAAGTAAGAAAATACAAAAGCCAATTTAAAAGAAAGAAAGAATATCTATAACTGATTTATGTTTATAATTAATAGTTTTAAGTATTATATTTTGCAAAAAAAAAAAACCAAATGGGTTAAAGCATTTAGTAATATTATTGAGAATTATATGAATTTGTAAATTTTTTTTTAATTCTATACATTTTGTAAATAATAAAAACAAAAACTGCAATGAGGACATTGTACAATATTTTTAGATGGGAGGAGTGACATTGCTACACTCACTCAAAGAAGAAATATCTCTAATACGCTCTTATACGTGTTATGAGTAAAGTCAATCAAGGTAACCTTCGGCAGAAGTTGTTATCGAGAGTATAGTTCAGTTCTTAAGCAAACATTGAAATGATATAATGTAAATTAAGTATTAAATTGTTAATAAATATAAATAAAATTAAATCGTTTAGTTTGAAAATATTACTCATATATAAAAATTAAATATAATATATACATACATGGTATTTGTTCAAGATTTAAGTACATTAGAATGCAGTCCTGTACATAATTAGCAAGGACACAAACCAATGCCAGTCAGCTGATTGCTGAATGCTGAATGATCAGCATAATTGTGTCCTCCTTTTAGCATTGAATTCTTAGACTAGTCACTCCACTCTAGCGTAGGGAACGTAAATAGAATCCTTATATATATATGTAAATATGTATCATATGGCGTGATGCTATATCCCGTTAATCAAAATGTATATTTAAGAAGGAATTGAATAAAGAAGCGGCCTATTCCGTGACAGACGTGTGTAAGATCCAGACGACTTCTCTTTTATTTGGTGGAAATTGATGCAAATATTATACATCTTTTTGGTGGCTCCTGTGAGGAACTATTCGATCCTGATTCAAAGTAAGATTGACTGCGAGAAGATCTTCAACGACACAATCACCCGCACTTCAGACGGTAGATACCAGGTGCAAATTTTATTTCGGCCAGATGCTCCTGCACTTGGCGAATCTCATCAATCGGCAGTTCGCCAGTTTTTACAACTCGAGCGGCGTCTGATGAACGACCCATGTCTTCATGAGCAGTACATCACATTTATGCGAGAATATATTGCTCTCGATCATATGGAGGTTAGCAGAGAAACCTTCATTGGGAAAGAAACTGGTTACTTCATACCTCATCATGCTGTAACCACAAAATTTCGCGTGGTTTTCAACGCTTCCGCGAAGACTTCTAATGGGACATCCTTAAACGATACACAGATTTCTGGACCTCAGTTACACGCAAATATTGTCGACATTCTTAACCGTTTTCGCAAATTCAACGTAGCAATTACTGCAGACGTTAAGAAAATGTTCCGACAAATATTGATAGACACACGACATCGTAAATGGCAACGAATACTCTGGCGTAAATCACCAGATGAACCTCTTCAAGTATATGAATTGAAGACGGTAACTTATGGAATGGCAATACGCGCACTGCGTCAATGTGCGAATGACAATTATAAGGTCATCTATGACCCAAGCCGGGCTGCCGCAGCGCGTCATAGCATACTTTATAATTTCTATGTTGATGACTATTTGGATAGCGTCGACAGCGACGAACTTGGCGTTACCCGAGCTCAAGACGTAGCAACGGTTTTGAAACAAGGACAATTAATATTAGGAAAGTGGAATTCCAACTCTACACATGTATTATCTACAATAACCGGTACAACAGTTTCCGCATCGGAACTGGAATTAGACAACTCAACGACAAAGGTATTGGGTCTTTACTGGGATCCAGTGAGTGACGAACTCTTCTTCAAGGTAAGCATGATTGACGACACCTCCATGCATACTAAACGAAGGGTTTTGAGTGACGTGGCGAAATTATACGATCCAACTGGGGTATTAGCACCTGTAGTCGTGTTGGCCAAACTATTCATACAGGACTTATGGAAAGCTGGTCTACCATGGGATGCCGAACTCCCAGCAGAGCTGCTCAATACATGGTTGATATTTCGGAATAGCTTACAAGATATTTCACGGCTTCGTATTCCTCGTTGGCTGGGAATACGAGTGGGCTCTTTAGTGCATTTGCACGGCTTTTGCGATGCTAGTAGTAAAGCATACGCAGCAGTCGTATATGTTCAAACCATCGATAACAGCGGAACGTCACCCACCGTTCTTGTTTCAGTGAAGTTGAAGATAGCACCAATTAAGGATGTGACTATACCGCGCCTCGAACTATGTGGTGCTCATCTTTTAACCAAGACGCTGGATAACGTACGTAAGGCTCTAGATTTACAGGACGCCCCATGTACGTATTGGAGCGATTCTACTATTGTATTATGCTGGATCCCCAAAACGCTATCCACGTTCAAGCAATACGTATCAAATCGTGTAGCTTACATCCAAGCCAACTCAGACATTAATGCTTGGAAACACATTCGCTCGGAATCGAATCCAGCCGATTGTGCAAGCAGGGGTATATCTCCTGCTCTCTTAGCAGAGCATCACCTTTGGTGGATGGGACCGACGTGCATACATCGAGGTGTGGGCTGCACAATGAGCCTGCCCATTTTGACGGAAGAGGAAGAGCAACTCTCCATAGCTGAATCTCGTCCGGTCTCCATCTTCGTTTCTAGAGCTGATTACCAGTGGATTATGACATCCACGAAAGACAAGCGGATACCTCTCGTAGAGAAATTTAGCAAATTGAGTCGTTTACTCAACACCACTGTTTGGTTAAGGCGATGGTTACAGGAACGATGTAGTTTCTCTCGAAGAGCAGCGATGGGCGTTACTTCTGCACGTTCGACAAGCACAAGGTAATAATTTTAAACACGAAACTAAATCGCTTGCATTGCATTCCAGGATTGTGGGTCGTAGTCAAATCATAGCACTCAATTCATTCTTGGATACTAACGGCATACTGAGGGTAGGTGGTCGACTCACCAACACCGACTTAGATAAAGCTCATCGACATCAAATTATAATTCCACGTGGGGCCCTGGCTTACTTGCTAGTCTACATGGTGGTATACAAAAATGCTGCAGTTTCTTAGACAACGTTTCTGGCTTATAGGGGCACGAGCTCAAGTAAAGTCTTTCATCTGGACATGCACTACATGTCGTAGGCATCTTCAAATTCTACAACGCCAACAAATGGCTTCGCTTCCAAAAGAACGAGTATTAGTGGCACCACCATTTTCTCGTAGCGGATTGGATTACTGCGGGCCATTCCATGTCCGTGTGGGAATGCATCGTGCTACCCCGACTACAAAAACATACGCTGCCATATTTGTTTGTATGGCTTCACGAGCGGTACATATTGAGCTGGCAGTGGACTTGAGTACACAGGCATTTGTAGATGTTTACGATCGCTTCATTAGTCGAAGAGGTATATGCACCACTTTATACAGTTTGGTAGCTGAAGGTACCTGTTGGAAGTTCATAACCCCTTCCGCACCTCGTGGGACGTGTGATTGACGTTCACCCGGGCAGTGATGGCCTGGTACGTACCGGGACGATAGAGTACAATGCAAACCAGAGATCATCGGATGGAATTCCTATTAAACAGCGGTGTCAGCGACCGGTGCAAAAATTATGCCGCCTTACAGGTCCCGCAGAAGAATTACTGAACCGCGAGGGTTCAGCCGGGCAGAATGTTCAAGATTTAAGTACATTAGAATGCAGTCCTGTACATAATTAACAAGGACACAAACCAATGCCAGTCAGCTGATTGCTGAATGCTGAATGATCAGCATAATTGTGTCCTCCTTTTAGCATTGAATTCTTAGACTAGTCACTCCACTCTAGCGTAGGGAACGTAAATGGGAACTATCCTTATATATATGTAAATATGTATCATATGGCGTAATGCTATATCCCGTTAATCAAAATGTATATTTAAGAAGGAATTGAATAAAGAAGCGGCTTATTCCGTGACAGACGTGTGTAAGATCCAGACGACTTCTCTTTTATTTGGTAGAAATTGATGCAAATATTATACAGTATTAGTTAATTTTAATAATTAGTTTTAGTAAATACATTTTTTCAATAAAATAAAGCAAAATAATATAAATAATACTGAATTTTATTTAAAAGAATTGGAACTGGTTATGGTAACAAAAATCCGTCAAAAGTGGGATTGTCAAATAAATTCCTAATTTAAAATGGCAAAGTTTAACGATCTGAAGATTCCACAACTGAAAAAGTAGCTAAAACGTGACTTGGCAACGAATAAAGTAAAGTCCAAATTATAATAACGGTTGCGAGAGGCCATAGAAGCGGAAAACATTAATGTTGAGGAATATGTCTTTGAATTGAAATTAGAGGCTCTCGTTCATGAAACACTATGGACATAAACATAATTTTGGTTGCAATGTTTACGTTAACACAAATGTTAACGCAAAACACAATTTAAAGAGCAGGATCCACGTATGACCCTATGAATGTCGCATTTAATAACGCGATTGTCAATGCAGTTGAAAAAGCAGTTCGCAGTGCAAGATGCACGTATATTAGCACAATTGTCACAGTGAAAATATCTGGCCTTCGTATATCAGCATAGGTATCCTCACAGTTGGCCGTGCAGGAAGCGTGTGAACCAGTACAAAGGTTTCACAGGTAGAAGAGCAAGAGCTTATGTACCAGTAAAAGGATCCTCCTTAAAGAGCAGGAAGCGTGTATTCCTTACAGTCGGAAGAGCAGAAAGCTTTTATACCAGTACAGGTGGAAGAGCACGATAAAATTAGAGCTGAAATTACTTTTTGCAAGAAGATCCAGAATCGCAAAGTGTAATGCATGAAGTGATTTGAATAAATGTACAACGAGTGGAGAAATATCTACAGGAAGGCCATTCGCAAATGCATATTGGGCATAGCGAAGCAACTTAAAGTTGAGGTGTGGCTGTTTGCACCGAGTATGGCAAAGAGCAGATGGGCAAAGCTTTCGAGCATTTATGGTTGTTCCGAAGGTTAGAATTCCTAAAGTACTTAACCTGCTGTACAAAGGTCCTAGTGGAGGGCACTTGAGAATGGCGAAACCCATTAAAAAATGAAAGCAAAGGTTTTATTGGACTGGTTGCCATCAATTAGCTATGGAGAGGATTGCCGAATACGCTGAGTGCGTTGGCATTAGATTTAGGAATCATGGCCAGATGAAGCAGTACAATTAGGGTGCGTTTTGAGAAAATTGGCGTCCATTTCCCTCCGGGAGCGGGTAAAGAGATTCGGTGTTCAAATGGAATTACCTTGTAATCAAAAATGGAATCTCGAGTAAGCTTTAAGTCAAGGTACCAGAAAGTGGGTATTCGGAAAACGGAAGGAATTAACTCCATGTAGAGAAGAACGACTAAGGACGTTAACAGCAGTCTAGAAGACGAGATGGGAGACATAAATGCTTTGTGCTTGGTACCGCAAAATGTCTAATCGGGATGATCAGACTTAGGTGGAGAGCAGTGTAACGAACATGGATGATTGAACAAAATAGAATCGACGATAAATTGCCATAATCAACTAGACAGCGAATCGTAATTGCTAGAATGTTCCAGAGGCGAAGTTTTGTTAAAGAACTACTACATAAAGGCTTCCAGATTGTGCAGCAGACACAGCGTTAACATGTTTTATTTAGAATTAAAGATAAGTGTATAGCCATTAAATTGGGACTTTCATTTTCCAATCTAGTGATCGAACTCAAGAGTAAGTTATGGGTAAACGATTTATCGAGAAATCGGCTACAATATAGAAGAGGTAGCATATAGAGACAACCTGCCAGAATTGTAATTGGAAAGAGCGGGCAAGACATTGAACATCCGAGGGGCAATTGGTTACTATTTTCCCACTCGCTGAACAAAAGTAGCAAATTTTTAAACTTATACACGAGTGAAAAATAACAAGTAGTTAACACGTTTGTTAACAGATACCCGTCTTGCAGGGCCTGGTACGTAATAGTGCCAATTCACACACGAAACCTTTCTAGGAAAGACGAAGCCATTCGTACACGGCCTCGGGTGCCACGCCTTGTGTTCTTGTTCGTCACCGTTCTCTTCTACGCAATTAGGAATTTCTTTTCATTCCGAAATTCTTTTCATTGTTGAAATTGCGCTCGGTTTTAAATGAATATATACGATATGCCGGGAAATTTTAATTTTGTTATCTATTTTTTGTTATCTATTTTCAAGTAACTAACTTGGTATTAATAAACAAATATGCATAGTATGACATAAACATTTTGCAAAATGGTGAATAAAGATAAAAAATAAGATACTCAAAAATATTTATATTTTATTAAATATTTAATTCCATTTAGCTGCATTAAATGTAATAGTTAACGATTAACAATAAGTTCAATTAATTTGTAAGATTTATGCTGTACATTTTGGCAGCACCATTCTCCAGGTACAATTTGGCATCATCATTGTCAGGTGATGCACTTTAGCTTCGGCATTTTTACCGTTGTTTGTGTCAGTCATTCTACTGTTGTTGAGTCATACCATTTTACCGTATGCAATAACAACTTTGCTACTTTCGTCGGTTCGCTTACATAATAATTTTCTGTATAAGCATAAGTTAACCATAAGATTAGTTCAGTTGTCTATCAAAGGAATTGGATGGTACTTGGAGCGTACCAAATAAATAGTGAAAATATTAAAATCGTGGTTTTATTGTAGTGCAAATCCGTCATTAGAGCGTGCTTAGTTTGAATGTTTAGTGCAATCCTAAACATTAATAATATATACACACGAATTCTAATAAATATGGAGTTACTTATACTTTTTTATATTTATATAACAAGGGTATATTAGGATGCGTTTATATTTATTTCTTTTAACCGCAAGATATTTAGTTCTACTAACATTTTATTTAAAACAAGAAATGTAATTAGTACATGAATGTTTTGTGAGAAAAAAAAATGTGGCGTAAAGAAATTACGGGTATTTAATACATTCTAATTGATTAGGGAATTACTGTCATACATTTTCCCTTCAATATATTAATATTTAAATATCTATATATTGTTCTACCACATTCATGGTAATTCTTTGTAAGCAAAATGTGAGATAACCATATCAATGTTCAAATGAGCTATGGAACATGCTTTAAAAGTCACGGTGCGGAATCGCACAAACACTTACGAAAATTTTGTGAAAAAGGATGACATTTTGCTATATTTGCCTTCTCCTCATGAGGGACAAAAAAGTCTCAGACGCTATCATAGTAGCCTACAAGACGGTCTAATTAGTTACCTATTGGTTATCAGTTATTAATGCATTTGTTATCCGTTAGGTTACTTTCGTTCTAGCCTCAGGAAAAAAGTAACTATTTCTCCTCTTTTACTGCACTATGGTGTGATTATCTTACTCGCTCTCTTTCATTGTTTTTGGGCAAATAAATTATATATAGGATATTTAAAAAAATTTAACACGTGTGGTTCTTTTGATTGACGGAATAAGAATTCTTCTTTATTTTAAACTTACTATTATCCAAAGCAAAGAAAGTGTTTTTATATTTCGGCAACGTTAAGCCTTCATTTTTGTTTACAATTATTATTATTATGCCTTCGTGTGAGGGCCACAAGTAATGTTTTGATAAGAATAGATTATTCTATTCAGAACGGGAAAGGCGTGATTAAAAACTTTATGACTGCATAATTACAAAAGTTAAGATGCAATTTTATTTATTTTTTACCGCAAAACCGCTATGGGGAGGCTGCCGTTAATTCCCTCCATTCTAATGCTGGGAACAGTCACCGTAACCGTAGACCGAATCAGCTGATACGACCTATCTTATGAGAGCGCAATATAAATGAACCCATGAATGAACTGAGATGTCCTTGTTCAATAATTTATTAGTTGTTTCTAAATGCTATAGAATTTCAAAATTATTTATATGATTAATTTTAAGATAATTTCAAATGTTGATCTCAATACTTTCATAAGTTTTATTATTAATTACAATAACATTTTCAAATTTTATTAAATAGGTTCCTATTACGGTTTGGTTGTTTATCTACTTGAGCGATGACTCTTACATCATAGTACTAATATGTTAATTATATTTTAGGATGTTTTATATAAGGTAGTGAGGGGTTTTAAATTTTGAATGTGCATTAAGTCCGTAAATGTCATTGTACCATGCTGGTAATATGTTATATATTTTATTTCATCAAAATATAAAAATGTCAGATTTAGGTTCCTATTTTACCAAATGTTATTATAACTATTATATTATATTATAGAGTTCTTGTATAATATTTTAATTTCTTTTCTTTTTAATTTTTCTGGCTGTGGTATCGCCTTTAATGTTATTAACAGTATCAGTTAATTCTGTTAGTACTTTAAAAATTTCCGAATTTGTAGTAAAGTGTTTATTATTATTTATTATTAGTACATCACGGAGTTCCCAATATACATTTCCAAAGTGTTCCTAATTCATTTATTCCCCTTTTTTATCTAACATGGTTTTATTTTAACTGTGCTAATAAAGTTTAAATTTATAATAATATTTCTGATTATTCTTTCTAAGTGGTAACTTTTACACGACTATTATTATCTATTATGAAAAGGTTATATCGAAAACCTATAAGTAGTTATTATTTTATGCTAGGATATGGATCTTGTCTGTTCCATATCGGATCCTCATTTTCACATTTGTGGTTTTAGAATTTTTCACCCAATTATAATATTTATAAAAATATTTATTTAATATTATATTGCCGATAAGATCAGATTCACAGCCTAAGCAAAATACACTCGGCAGAAAAAGTCTGCGTACACGCTAATGTCTTATTTTCTTTTGTTAAAAAATATCTTTTACACACTCAATTTAGAATAAAATCCCATTAAGTGCTTTATTACTAGTCTGTTGCATAATCCCGTAGAATTTAAAGCAGTGAAAATCGGGTATTATAGTTATATCGATAAATTTACACAAAATTGTCATTTCGCAGCGCAGAAAAAGTCTGGGTAGAAGTAGTAAATTGAGAATTCTTCGCGGCCAGAGTGAATACAGGAGAGATTGCAGTACACCCCATTGAGGAGT